CCCTTATTTCTCAGTATTGTCTTTCTATTATCTTTGATTGTGAAACAAGATTTTTTTTTACTTTCACATATCTCCCAATGTATGCAAATAGATATATACATTATATAAAATGAAAAGCAAATGCCTAAAGATCTAAGGAGATGAAGAACCAAGGAAATAAAAGAAAGACAAATTCATAAAGGAGAAACGAAAATCTCATAAATTCAATCGTCATTCTCATGAAGGTAAAGTTGATAATTTACTGGATTTAAATTAGGAATTTTGTACTTAAATTAGGCTTATAAAAATTTAATTGTAAAGAATTGTTGCAGTAATTAATACAATCAATCTATTATTGTGATGTGATCTAAAATTATCTTGGAGACTCTTAAAATAGGTTTTACTTCTTAATTTAGTTGATGAATGTCTAGAGAAAGTGAAGCTATTACAACAGATTGGGATGTGGTTTACTTTAATGTCTAAGTATTTCTTTTATCTAAATTTTGATTAAATTTACTTGATAAGAGTCACATTTGGGAATTGACATGAACGAAAAGAGCAAAAAGAATTCGCCACACTATAGTGACATGTTATGTTATCACTTATACTATGGTATATAGGTGAGTGTTTCTTACTTCTTTATATTTGATTGAGTGTTATCAAGAAGTAAGTAAAAAAATAAGTTATATATTAGATATTTTGTTAACAAAATTTAAATTAGAATTTGTATACCAAACATCGCAGCATACGGGCTCATCATACTTGTTTTGATAAAGTTTTGTGTTTTGATAGATCAAAGTAAAAAATTGTCAAAGCATGGATCTGTTTTGAATTCAAAACAGGGTTTTTAGGTGAGTGCTTCTTACTCTTATTCTTTAAATTTAATTGAATTATATCAAATGAAATTAAATTCAAAAATAGTATATTGTTATATTAATTAAGAATATAATATTATACTACAATTGTTGATCTTGTGCAGAATACATCGTGAAAATTGTTGCATATTAGTGTTAAAAGATTAGTTAATACGAAGCATGGACCTTGGAGAACCAACTTCAAATATAGATCTGCGGAGCCGTGCATAATAAACTTTGCCTCACATGTTCTCGATATATATTTTTCTCCTAAAATACTTCTTATGAATACTTATCAAAATTGGATTAAATATCGCCGCAAAAATGATATTATCTTTGTGAAAACTTATCTAAATTGAATTAAATACTTCTTAAGAACTTATCTAAATTGGACCAAATATCATCCTAAAAATGACATTACTTATCTAAATTGAATTAAAATTTGTTTCAAATAGTAAATTGTGAAAATTCAAAAAATATAATAGTTCATGAAAAGTTATCTAGTATATTTAATTTAATTTAAATTGAATTAAATTTCGTTTCAAATAGCAAATTGTGAGAATTCAAAATATATAATAATTCATTAAAATTTGTCTAATATATTTCATAAATTAACTCTTTATTGAGTTCTAATTAGATTTGGTCTAATCCATTAGATGTTTAATTCTTAAGTTTTATAAGTTTATTTATCAAAATTCTTATAACTGCATTTATAGTTTACTTTCATGTACAAACACTTTAATTTATTGTTTATTTGTTTATATTCACATGTTATATTAAATCAAGATGGTGATTTTATTGGGAAATAACGAGAGGTATGGATCAAATTAACTTAGAAAATTGGGAAATGAAGTTACAAGGATGATGACGATGATGGATGCAGTGTAGTTTTGTATCATTTTAAATAGTATAAGGATATTTTAGATCATTTTCTCTTAAAATAATTATTACCCTCTTACATTGCTCTTTATTTCAAAGTTATATTATATTTCAGTTGGTTTAATTTGTATCCCTAATTATATGAGAATTGCTTATGAAATTAATTCTTGAAAAATTCTAAGAATTATTTTTAAAAAATTAAATTTTATTGTACATAATATAAGATCTTACGATAGTTTTAAGTCAATTGGTTGCTTTTTTTCCTCTACTATTTTTATATTTTAAAATATCCGTGCAACGCGCGGACACAAATACTAGTGTATTATACAAGATTGGAAATAGAGATAAAAAAAACTCACATACCTTTTTCTATCAGATCTCTTTCCCAAAGCTATGTATTTTTTCACCAATATTCTCTATTGTATCAATACATAGAGGATACATTGTAAATTCAGTCTTTTTTTTTCACCTCCAAATACAGTTTTACACTCATGTCGTTCTTAATTTTCAATGGAACCTTCTACGATGTATCTGATTTTCAAGTTTTTCCTAATCTCATCGATCTCCAACTCGACTGAAATGGTGGCTTTGAGATTCATAAATGAAATCGATTGCCCAACAATAATTTCATCACTTTTATAACCTTCATAACTCACAAAAAAATCGCTTGTTCAAACAATTTTGTGTGATACATTGAATTCAAATTACTCGACGATTTCAAATTGACGATTCAAAATCGTGAATCGTTTGTCCAATCATCTACAATGGCATATTTGAGATTCAAGCTTTCGAATTGATGGAGAAGATGAAAATTTGATTTTTGAATTTTGTGAAGCTGTTACAGATTGAAATGGATTGATATCAATCAGTTCTGCGTGATTTGTGGAAAAGAAAAAATCAGTTCTGCATGATTTGTGGGGGGGGGGGGGGGGGGAATCAGTTTTACGTTAGTATTTCATATTAATCGCAATAGACAAGTTTTATAATGTATCACAATTAATGTATCCAGATGAGACTTATGTATCTGAATGACTAATATTTTAAGGGATTTTTTTAAAATAGAAAAGAGTAAGGATTTTTGTAAAATACAAAATTAATTTTACACTATTAACAATTTATAACTAATGTATCATGAATATCATAATCAATATCAGATAATCATCAAAATAAAAAACAATTATCACCATGATACATATGCTAATAATAATAATGTATTATACAAGATTAGAAATAGAGATAAAAAAAAATTGACATACCTTTTTCTATCAGATCTCTTTCCCAAATCTATGTATCTTTCCACCAATCTTCTCTATTGTATCAATACATAGAGGATACATTGCAAATTCAGGCACGTTTTTTCACCTCCAAATACAGTTTTACACCCATGTCGTTCTTAATTTTCAATGGAACCTTCTACCACGTATCTGATTTTCAAGTTTTTTCTAATCTCATCGATCTCCAACTCGACTGAAATGGTGGCTTTGAGATTCATAAATGAAATCGATTGCCAACAATAATTTCATCACTTTTGTAACCTTCATAACTCACAAAAAAAAAAATCGCTTGTCCAATCAGTTTTGCGTGATACATTGAATTCAAATTATTCGACGATTTCGAATTGATGATTCAAAATTGTGAATCGTTTGTCCAATCATCTACAATGGCAGATTTGAGATTCAAGCTTTCAAATTGATGGAGAAGATGAAAATTTGATTTTTGAATTTTGTGAAGCTGTTACAGATTGAAATGGATTGATATCAATCAGTTCTGCGTGATTTGTGGGAAAGAAAATCAGTTCTGCGTTGTTTGTGGAAAAAAAAATCATACGTTAATATTTCATATTAAGCTCAACAAACAAGTTTTATAATGTATCACAATTAATGTATTCGGATGATTGATATTTTAAGGGATTTTTGTAAAATAAAAAAGAGTAGGGATAAAATGTAATTTAACATCTTACACTATGAGATTTATATAAGTTATATTATATATAAATGAGGAAATACATAATTACCCCATGAAACTTATGCCTTTTTTCAAGTAGACACTTTAAGTTTGCGGGGGTCCTATTACCCCACGAAACCATCCAAAAGCACAATAAATACATCATTTTGACCCGTTTCAAACCCATCAGTGTTGTCACGCAGGTTGGGTGCATCAAGGAATAAAAAAACAACATCCAACCAATGTTAAAATGCCATGTGACATTCCCAATTTGAATTAACTTCTTCATTAAATAGAGCACCTTCCCAAAATTCTCCATTGTTAGCCGTTGGAGATCTGCAATTGGACCAAACACAATTTTTTCCCCATGATACCATCTCAAAGTTATAAGAACAAATGACATTGTAAGAAATCTTGAAAACACAGTTACAAATAGATCTCAGAAACACTAAATCAATGAAAGTTATAACAATATTCAACAACAACAACCCAACAACAACAATATTCAACAACAACAACCCAATAAAGAAATACATATCAACTGCAACAGGCCAACTACAGATGAGTAATATACACAACAACAACATGACGACAAACAAAATACACATCAAACAATGTAAAATAAACTAACAACTAATCATTACAAAATTCACTTACAATGTAAAATAACTTTTTTTCGAAGATTTTTCAAATGACTAACCTATGAGCCTTCACTTCTTCGTTCTGACACCACTATTCAACAAATTTCAACCAGCAATGTTACCAACTAGCTTCGCCTCATGAAGTTTCTTAGGGTTTTGATCGTCGAGAGAGAGAGACGAGGTAGGTGAAAGTGAAATGGGTTGGAAGTTTCTTAGGGTTTGGGTTATGAGTTAAAAAATGAATGGGTTAGGATAAAACTCGGCCTTTGTTAAATGGGTTGGAGGTGTGGCACATGCTCTTGGATTGAGAGCACTGATTGGTGAAAAAATGATGTATTTATTGTGCTTTTGGATGGTTTTGTGGGGGTAATAGGACCCCCGTAAAGTTAAGATGTCTACTTAAAAAAAAGGTATAAGTTCCATGGAATGATTATGTATTTCCTCTATATAAATACCTTTTTATGTGAGTCCAAAATCAAAATCACAAAAAAAAAATCTTCAGAAAACATAAACGACATATCATATTTTTTAGATCAAAAGAGCAAAATCGCTCATGAGCCGGTCTACCCCGCACAAAATTATGTCAAATCCTCATCTCTTTCAAACCCACTCATCACTCATCACTTGCCCCCACACACTACAATTTCACAGACAATACATAAATTAAAGATTGTTTCCACAAAATATATCAAAACACACAAAAATGATATCCACACAGTACTTTATCTTCTTCTTCTTCTTCTTCTTCAGCTTTGCTTCATCCCATGATACCAGTATAATATTCACCACCTTAGGAAGATCAACTTATGCCTTCGACATCTTTGCTCTTCCAACAACACACCCACAAACCGAATTCCAGTTGACCGATGGCAATTCCGTTAACTTTAACGGCCATTTCCCGGCCACCCTACCACCTTCCCTGCTCTCCCGCCTACCCGATGATGATTCTGTCAATTCCGGGAAGCTGCCGTTTCATCTTATCTATGTGACGGAAAGGAACGGCACCCACCATGTATTTTACGACGCTGTGTTTCATGGCGTTGGTGAAAGAAGAGCCATACTTGAGTTTCCATCTCAAACTGAATCGACTCGAATTCAGGTTCCTTTGGTGGGTTTTGAGCAGTCCGGTGGGAGGGTTTCTATGAAAGATAAGCCTAGTTTATCTGGGGAATTTTTGATATACGTATCGACTCATGAGGATTCCGATGTGCCGAGGACGAGCTGGGCTGCGGTATATTCGACTCACTTGGGTTCCGGGTTGACCCGGAGGTTGACACCTAAAGGGGTTGCTGATTTCAGCCCGGCAGTGTCTCCTTCCGGCGTTTGGACGGCGGTGGCATCGTACGGGGAAAAGGGTTGGAGTGGGGAGGTTGAGGAACTCGCTACGGATATCTATGTGTTCATGACTCGTGATGGGTCGGGTCGGGTTAAGGTGGTGGAGCACGGTGGCTGGCCGACATGGGCTGATGAGTATACTCTGTATTTCCACCGGAGGTGCGATGATGGGTGGTGGAGTGTGTTCAAAGCTGTACTTCCAAAATCAGGTGAACTAAGTGTCGACTCAATCTCTACCCAGCGAGTCACACCACCGGGTTTGCACGTGTTCACACCAGCATCTTCTCCGGCCAACAAGAATCTCATCGCCGTCGCTACCAGAAGAGCAGGTTCAGAGTATCGGCACATCGAGCTATTCGACGTTGTTTCTAAGAAGTTCACAGAGATAACCCGACCCGTTTCACCTCATGCTCATCATCTGAACCCGTTCTTTTCGCCGGATTCTTCATGGGTTGGATACCATAAATGTCGAGGCTCAGGCAATGGAAGAGGGAGCGATACACTGTTACTGGAAAATCTTCGAAACCCGTTACCCGGAATCTCTCTATTCCGGATTGACGGGTCATTTCCATCATTTTCACCAAATGGTGATCGGATAGCTTATGTGAGGTTACCTGGATTATATGTGGTGAACTACGACGGATCAGGTCTGCGTAAAATTTCATCAAGAACAGCCTTTTCCACAGCTTGGGACCCGAAAAGAAAGGGAGTAATTTACACTAGCTTTGGACCAACATTTGCTAGTGAAAGTACAGAAGTGGATATTATTTCCATCAATGTAGATGATGAAGACTTGAGCTACAAACAAATGACAATAGGAGGGCAGAATAACGCGTTTCCGTCCCCTTCACCTGATGGAAAATGGATCGTCTTCCGATCAGGGAGATCAGGTCACAAGAACTTGTACATAATGGATGCTTTGGAAGGAGAGGTGGGTGGTCTACGTCGATTGACAGAGGGGCCATGGACAGATACCATGTGTAATTGGTCACCGGATGGTGAATGGATTGCATTTGCATCTGATCGAGAAAACCCCGGGTCAGGTAGTTTCGAGATGTATATGATTCACCCTAATGGAACAGGACTCAAGAAGGTGATCCAGAGTGGTACAGGTGGGAGGACTAACCACCCCTATTTCAGCCCGGATGGGAAGTATATAGTTTTCACTTCAGATTACGCGGCTGTATCAGCTGAGCCCATCTCGAACCCTCATCATTATCAGCCATATGGTGATATATATGTGATCAAATCAGACGGCTCGGACATCCGAAGATTAACACACAATTCGTATGAGGATGGTACGCCCGCTTGGGGACCTACTTTCATAAAACCTGTGGATGTAGAATGGCCTAATGGTGGACATCCCTGTTCTTTTGAAGATTGTCACTGGCTGAATGTTAGGCCTAATGCCAGTGTAATGGATGCATCCTTTGGCTTAGGTTCTGCCAAGATTGAGTGTGCTCAATGAACTTCTCTTATAGGGCTTGTGTTTCTGTGCTATATGTAAATTATAGAATAACAATGTATCTGTTGATACAACTCAACGTCTATTGTGATGGTGTAAAATATTTTTGCCAATGTATACGGTTGAATCCTTAATCGGTATAAATTATGAGCAAATTCATAGATGCAAAACATAGAATAACAATGTGTTGGTGCTCAACCTTTTTTCTTCACCCAACTTCTGTACAACTCTAAATTGAGTTGCACCAGTTTCACAATCGACAGGACGAGAAAATCAAGGCTTTGATCAGTTGTAATGTTCTTCTCAATACTAATTGGCACAAACTGCAATAGTTCCACAAAGGAATCATTACTGAATAGTTTCTGAGTTAATGAAACAGCCAATAGCGCTTCTTCTGTACACAGACTGACTAGACTAACTAAGCCAGAGAAAAACAGTAGAGTACAAGAGACTAATCCTGCAATGTCAATGTTAATGACTACAAACGAACATAAAACCAAGAATGAAGCTCTTCCATGGACATTGCAAGTTAAAGGCTATATAAGATTGAATGCCATGAGTTAATCCAACAGACAATTGGAAATACTGAAGTTGATGCCTCTTCTCACATCTCCCTGGCTTAGCTGCTTATGTTCTGGAAGAACTCTACAGGTACAGTTGGAGGGCAATACTTCTTTGCAACAAATTTGTACTGTTTCAGAAAACCAAACATCAGAATAAACTCGATAGATGCCTACATGACTCTGTATGTACATGAACATACATGTCTATCAAGTCATTATTCAGTTAATATCATTTGACTAGTGTCGAGAGAAGGTTGATCATTTATCCCCCAGAAAGGTTAATCGTTTATCCAAGAAGATTCAGAAGACATTAATTTTCCAATATAATAGAATGTTTAAGTGCAGTCCAAACTCCAGTATACATGCTTGGGATGAATTGAAAAGAGAATTATGCAAACCTATATCTAGAAAGTATACATATGTTAGAAACACGATAGGAAATGTATGCAGATGCCTACATGACTCTGTATGTACATAAACATACATGTCTATCAAGTCATTATTCAGTTAACATCATTTGACTAGTGTTGAGAGAAGGTTGATCATCTATCTCCCAGAAAGGTTGATCATTTATCCAAGAAGATTCAGAAGAAATATTAATTTTCCAATATAATAGAATGTTTAAGTGCAGTCCAGGCTCCAGTATACAGGCTTGGGATGAATTGAAAAGAGAACTATGCAAACCTATATCTAGAAAGTATACATATGTTAGGACTTCATTCCACTAATCTTTATTGTCAGAAGGGGCTAGGATAAATTACCTTGTGTTGGCTGTATTTTTCCCTGACTGCTGGTAAGCTAGAATTGTTGTTGTTGCAGCAAAGGCTGTGTAGTGCCATGACACAGTCTCGTAAATCAGAGGGTTGGTACAAAGTATAATGCCTCAAGGTAGAGTTCTGTTAGGAGTTTCCAAAAGTCAAATTCTATAAGAATATATTTGTCGAAAGGAGAACAAGAAGCGAAAATGCATTATAACAGCTTATATGATTGTCACAATGCTAATTCGTACATACCCAAGGTTTCACTGAAGGAAGAAGTATATATTTGGCCAAGAAAATTGCAGAAGCAGCAATGAGTGATGGAGCATAACAAAGCATGTTGTATTCTAAAAGAGAAAGTTCTGCAATGTAGCTAGCCAAGTGTTCCAACTGCAGTGACAGAACCTGTAGATGATTATAAAATTTTAATCAACTCTTGTTTCTTATATAATAATTGGAGAATTATCAACCTTAAGTGAAGAGGTTACCTCATTAAGTCCTTGAGCAGCTCGAACAAACCTCCTGCAGTATATCTCAACAATAAGTTGCTAATCATCATACTCAAAAGCAACTACTAGATCATGGTAAGAATATTAACCTCAGAAAACATTTGGCTGTTGGAGCTGTCATTTCAAACTTCAAGTAATTTAAAACAGCAGACTCCATTTGCAACACCTGCATAATACGTTAAGTCTTAGTCCCACTGCAAAGTTCAACCACTGCAGGTTCTGTGAATCAAGATCATATACCTCCTCCTTGAAGTAAGTGTTGTCTGTTATGTAGCAGAACTCTTCGACTTGAGGTGCACAGATCTCCTCATATTTTCTGCAATAAAGCATTTCCCATATTAATGTCTTGGAGCATTTTCTTACAGATATGCTTGTAATATTTAAGGACACAAGAATATGAAAAACACTCAAGGAAAAATTTGTAAAGATCATGGCGAAAACATATGCAGTAGAGGTCAGAAGGTAGTTTCTTACGATGCGATCATCATGCAAGCTACTCCAAGCAACTGTAGTCGTTGTCTGTCCATCAAGTTGCCCGAAAGATATCGATCAATGTAGTTAATTGTCAAATGCAGCGTGTCTGGGACAAGCCTGTACTCCTCGGCAACCTATACCATCAAACAAGTTCCATATCAAACTGTCAATTTCTGAGCTCATCCACATTATTAATTAAGTCGTAAGTTGGGCAGGCTGACATTTCATCAGGGATACAGCTTTAGAGAAGAAAGATATTAGAAATTTACCTCAACAAGCCAGTCAATTAAGATAGCGCGCATGCTAGGATTGATGTCTTTCTGGACTTTCGCCATGAAATCTGTGGAAGGCCTTTTCTTTGCCTAGTGCAGTGATCAAAGATAACATTAAAACATGTTTGATAACAAATGTTTGTAAAACTGCAATTCAGTTAAAGTTAGCAGCATTTTTATACCTCTGAGGCTCTCAAGTGTGTATATATGTCACAGGCCATTGTAGCACATAACTGTGGGTCAACAAGATTGTTATCAATGTTGACAATTTTGTCCCCTGATTCCAAGTCCACAAGTACATCTCTCTTGCATATATCTGCTGCTGGAATAAAAAATAGATAAATTGTATTAAATAGATGTTATAGTTAAAATGAAATGCTAGAACAAGGACTATTCACTGCTGAAAAGATCAAAACCTGCGGCTTTGATATGTTCTGAGATGTAGAGGGTGCTACACGCCTTCTTCTCGATGGAATCAACTGCAGCCGATTCAAGGTCATCTATGTATTCGACCTCCGGACTTCTCACTGTGTCAGAAGTTGACATAGATTCATCCATGGAGACTAATGATCCATCTGAGTGAGATGGAGAAATGTCCATGCTGCAGGTGGCAGGAAGAGGAATGGCAGTGATCTTAGGCACAACTGCATCACTTCTTTGAATAGAAACAGGTTTGCTGCTTGGTCTGACAGAGGAGGATGCTGGCAGAACAGCAGTCACTGAGGAAATGTTCTTCTTAATGCTTACAATCTTGGACGTACATGGTGCCTTCCAAAGTCAAAAATGATTCCAAGTTAGTCACAACTTCAGATACAAGAAGCAATCTTTTTTCAAATTTACACACATTGCAAAACAGTATATTAAATAAAAGGTTAATCCCAACTGTGAAAACTAAAAAATATCAAAAGTTTGCTTAACTTCTTCTGCTCATTTGTGTAATGATAATCAAATTAAGAACAGTAATATAATCATTTAAGGAGACAAAAAGCAGGAATTGGTCCACTGGTCCACAGTAATGATATGCTAAACAATTCAGGTTAACACTGAAATAAATAATCTAGAATGCCACTGGTCCACTTCATGATTGTCCAATGATACTATGTCCATTTGAAAAAAAGCAAGAACTTTTGTTCAACCTAATAACATAAACATTAGAACTTTCTTCAAATGTTCAAAAAGCAAAGTTGACAGATAAACAAAAAGCAGGAATTGGGGGAAGATGTTTCAAATATTCCATTCATAGTACTTTTTAACCATTAAAAAAATACTTTAACTCAAACATAATTTATAATAAGATAAAACAAATCCCTTGATAACTAATGCATTTCCTGCACAAAAAAAGTGAACTTGTTCAAAAAAAGGCAAGTCAATTAACAAAAAAATTAACTTCCAATTAACAAATATTGACAAAAAAATGAAAACCCACAAATCCCCTCATATCAAAAACCCTCAAAAATCACTTCACGTGATTTTCTCAAACTGATTTTTACCCAGTATCTTGATCATTTTTGAAGAAAGTTCTAATGTTTATGAAACTCCAAGAAAGAAAACCCCCAAAAAATAAATCACAAAACCCAGTACTCTGCATTTTCCTCCTTCGAACCAGCAATAGAAAAAAACCCATAACCACCATACAAAAGAGAAAAACCCAGAACTCCAATTTACGCAAGAAACCCCATAACCAACATACGAAAAAGTAAATCATCGAACAGTAATCAAAACAACGCAAAGAAAAAGAAAAACCCAGTACTCTAATCACCTTCAAACAGTAAAATACACATAATCAAGCCATTTCATACAAAAACAGAGACCAAAAACAGAGAAACACTCACAAGTTTGGAGGAATGAGAAATCGAGTTCCGAGCAGAAACAGTTGTATGATTCGAGATATTAGACAATGCCGGTCGTTTCTTGGCCGCTCCAGCATTCAATTTTCCGGTCTGATTATTCTCCAACCCTGATGAATTCGCTGCCATTGCTTGTCTCTTCGCCACCGCACTCGAAACAGACGAACGCCTATTCTGGGTCGTCATCATTTCCTCCCTCAAATCAAACAAACGATCAAAAAAATTAACAATTTTTCATCAATCCTCTTCTTCAAGAAAAACGAAGAAGAAGAACGCTGTGTTTTACTCTCAAATTGTGAAAAATGTGAAGTTAATATATAAAAGCAATAAATAAATAATACATTTGAATTGATTTAATCTGAACCGTCCATTTGATTTAGGTATTCGTTAGGAGCGGACAAAGTTGGCCCCACTAAAAATCATCTGTTTAATTGGAGTTGAGAATAAAAAAGTGACGGACCAATCATATGAAGACACGTATGGTAATTGTACTGCGGGTGATGAAAGGACTGTGAGTTTAGTAAGTAATTTTTTTTGAATTCAAATTTGAAGTGATTCGTTCTTGACTTTAGTGCACCAGAAAAAAAGCCCCTTTGTTTTTTAATTCACTCTAATAAAGCCAAATACAAACAGAAAAAAGTTTTTTTTTTGGGAAAAATAAAAAATTTAAATTATAAGTCCTAATTATATGGTAATTGACAGATTATATAAATAGAAATGAATTTTGGTAATAAGGAATGAAATAAGTGAGCTTATACTATGTTTATTACATATGAATTGAGTTAAATTTGAAAGCAATGTTTGAATTTAGAGTTAGAAAAAGAAATTTATTAAAGTAATTTTTTTTTAAAAGTATATGTTAGATAGTTTTGTGGACGTTTGGTCATATTTTATTGTGAAATTTTGTAAGAAGATAATTTTTTATTTATAAAGTGAAAACTTAAATTTGGCTATGAAAATTTTTAAATTCAACTAAAAGTTGTATTTCAAATTTGAAAATAGGTTATGACATGTTTTTCATCTCACATTTCACTTTTTGAATTGTATTTAAGTACATTCAATTATGATTTATAATTTTATATGAATGTTAGGGTCGTTTGGTTTGCATTCAAGTTATGATGGGATTAATTATGATGAGATTAATTATGATATGATAAGTTATGATGGGATTATTTTTTATTGAGTGTTTGGTTTGTTGTATTTAAAATAATAAATTTTAAGAACAATTTATTTGTTTACAAAAATACCCTTCATGAATGTAAAAAGTGATGTAACAAAAGGGTTGAAAGAGACATTTTTGTCATTTACTTATTTTATCCCTGGATAAGTTATCTCGGGATTACTATACCACCCAAAAGGAGGGATAACTTATCCCGGTACTAATTATTAATCCCGGGATAAGTTATCATGGACTTGCCAACCAAACAACAAATTAAGTGGTACTATAATTTAATCCCAGGACTATTTGGTATTATCCTTCACACCATCCTTCACACCAAACGATCCCTTAGGGGTCGTTTGGTTTGAATATGAGTTGTGATGGGATAAGTTATGTTGGGATAAGTTATGTTGGGATTAGTTATGATGGATAAGTTGTCCTGGGATTATTTCTTATTGAGTGTTTGGTTTGTTATATTCAAAATAATATATATTGATAAATTTTAAGAACAAGTTGTTTGTTTACAAAATTACCCTTCACTTTATTTAAACTTTTTAATTTTTTCTTTGTGAGCTTTAGTTATTCATTTTTAAAAATAAAACTTTTATTTTTTTTTAACTTAAATATTTTTGTTTATGTATTCCCATGATAAGTACCATGTGTATTTAAAAATATAACTTTTTTCTTATTTAGCTTAAAAATAGAACTTTCCTCTTAAGTTTATTAAAGAGAAGAAAATTTATGAGATATCAAAATAAAATAAACATAAGAATTAGTCAAATAAATTCATAAATAAAAATTATATTTATATAGTATAATTTTTTAATAGAAAAATATGTATAATTATCATAAAAATAAGGAGTAGTAAATATTATTATACATGGTATTAAAAAAATGTAAATATACATAAATGTAAAAAATGATACATAAAAAGGATTTAAAGGGACATAGTTGTCATTTACCTATTCTATCTCGGGATAAGTTATCCCGGGATTACTATACCACCCATGGGGAGGGATAACTTATCCCGGTACTAATTATTAATCCCGGGATAAGTTATCCCGGACTTGCCAACCAAACAACATAATTTTTTTTTATCCCATCACTATTTCCTTATCCCATCACTATTATTTCTAATCCCTCACACCAAACGAGCCCTTATTGTTTTAAATACTTTTGTAAAAAATATAACTAAGCAATACTATTTTTAACTCATCCATAAATTCAAACTAAAATGAAAAAGTATTTATAATCTACAGTCATACGCCTACTAAGACTATTAATTTGAAATGAAGTTCATTTTTTATCCGTATGATTTGTTTCAAAATTTTGAAATTATATTTGGAGATTATTTGAATTAGTTTTTGTTTATTAAACTAGCCACATTTTATTTTTTAAAAAGTTTTTTGAAGTTCATTCACAAAAAAATTAACTGTATTTCACGTCTAAACACAATAAAAAGAATGACATATTTTAGGTGTTATCTCTATTTGCTTATATTTCAATTTATCTAAGGCATTTTTAATTTATTCAGTCTTAAAAATGATTTTCTTTTTCTTGATTGACAAATATATTAATGAAATTATCAATTTTGCTCATATTAGGTCTCACTTATCTGACAAAAAATTCACAAATGTGTATTCTTCTATTTTAAAAATCTCCTTTTTAAAGCTAGTTTTGAAAAATTATAAAAAAAATTCTATATTTCTTAATATTCAAGTTGAGTCACATTACATAGATTATATAAATGGGAACAACTGGAGTAATTACTATGAATATTTGTCCTATGATTCGGATTGACACTCTACAAACTTTCTATAAATAATTGATTTATATTCTTTTTGAGGTTTTATTTCTCTTAAAATAATTTCAAGAATGAAATTGTCATTTCTCCATCCTCTATATTATTATTCTTGGAGTTAATTTTCGTCAATAGCATACTAAAATTACTTTTGTTTCATAAAATGCCAGCTAAGAGAGAAAAAAGGTTTTGAAGTGTTTAGTATTTTTTTGAGAAAAATAAAAATAGTTGAATGATACTTTTATTCTAAAAGAAACACAAGTAATTTTTATAGACAATTCTCATAAATTTCATCCATGCAAATAACTCTTTAATTGGAAAGCAAAATTTCTTTTCTCAAATAGAAGTAATTCTCCCTTAGTCTCAATATATATGATATACTTTAAAGTCATATTTTATATTGATTAAAAATAGTTTAATTTTTAACCTAAATGAAATGATTCATAGTCAAAGAAATATTTAAGATTTATTTTAGACCACAAATTTCAAAATTGTTCTTTTTCTTAAAAAATATATATATTAAATTAAATGATACCACATCAATTGAGACAGAATAATATTGCATCTATGGTACGGCATTTGTCATACGATTTGAATTGATACTTCAAGGAATGCTCAGGAAAATTTTGTCATTTTTGTTGGTCCTTGCTCTTTCGGTAATCCAAAAGTAATAAGTCAAATATTTATCCAATGTAACATACTAAAAAAGCTATGAACATTGTTTTGCCAATTAAAAAAAAAAATGAAAATCCGTAGATTCTCTCTACTTTGAAAAAGTAATAATTCAAATAATGTTGATCCAATAGATTGGTAGTAGTAATTTGTTAAGTAGTAGACATATGTTTCTTTTTTTAGTTATTTTTATTTATTTAGAAAGAGACATCACTTAATTTTTAAAGAAAAATCAAGAAAAAGTTAGAATTTCAAAAGGATTTAAACAGAAAAATCAATTGAAATATCAAAGAGGGATTCGGAGTTCACATTTACACTTCAAGGAGGATTTTAAAGCATTTGAAGTATTCGCTAACACACGGTTATCTGACCATTTAAAATATTTGACTAAAACTTAAAAGAAAATAGACATGCTTAATTACTTTAAAGGAAATACTCAACTTTTACACCTTAAAACATTTTTTTTTTGAAGGAAAAGAACATATTTTCGTCTAAAATATGACTAAGTAGAGAAGCTCTAAATATTTTAGAAATCAAATAAAAATGGGAAAGTATTTACTTCTTAAAAAGAAGCTTTAAGAATAACTAATAGGAGAATGACTCATCTTTGAGGATTTTGAATTAAGTTAAACTTTAAGATTTATTTTCAAATAAGCAAGTCATAATACAACAAATATAGGAATGAACATTTGGGTCCAAGTCTGGTTTCTGTCTGCCTGGACAAGTATTTAAGCCTAATTTCTGATTTTGGACGTTTAGCCTACTTTGTCCCTGTCCTAAAACTAACAAAATAGCTGTCAAAAATAGATGGGCTTTGGCCCATTTAACTCAAAATCAGCTGGTCGCCTTTTTTCGATGCTTTTGTCCATTTTCACTAGGTATATCAGTTGTATCATGCTGTATACTGTTGTATATCAGCACCAAAACTGAAAATTAAGAAGAAATGAAGTGAATATAGCAGAACATTTAAATAAATAAAAATAGGAGTTACAAAAGAAATTATATCTTACTTTTTATGTTATTTATTGAAAGTAGATCACGTTATTTGTCACACAAAGTTTGTCTAGTATTATTTTGAACTTGATATATTAAGATTTAATAACTTAATTTCTCTACATTTAGATAATAAATTAAAATAACAAAATTTAAGCTATATAGTGTAATTTTTTTATCACGATACGTAGATTCTGAACATTTACTTAGTGTCGATTAAGATATATCCTATGATGTGGAACATATATATATATATATTATGTAGTAGCGAATGTGTATTTATAGGTAACAAATTCAACTAATTGTAGTTTACATTGTATCTTAAATGAACTAATGATGCAAAAACTTTTACACAATTCGTGTATTGAAATTAAACTCATAAATTCCTTGTGACAGAATGGAATATAGATAGATGGTCCAAGAAACTTTTGCTTTCATTTTTCTCTTCAACTTGTCATGTTTCTACATATAGGGGCCGGGGGAGGGGGGGTACTCTAAGTATGTAGCTGATAACGGTAGTGATTTACTTAGAAATTATTGTAGGTTAATAAGACTCCAAATCAAA